TTGACTCTTTAGGATTAACACAGCAGCCATAACAATGATCTTGATGAACTCATATATATATATTTTTTAGACTATATTACCATGGTACAACTTTTTACTTGGATGTGAAGCATACAAGTGAAGGTATTTTTGAAACCCTTTGTGATAAGAGAGCTCTTCCTTTTTATCTAGGTCATATTCATTACACAAGTCAAGGCATCGGTCTATATATTTTTTTCTTAGAGAAGACTGTTTTTGTTTTTTTTGCATAACCTGTTGACGCTGATTGCTAAAGTAAAGTAGATTCCACATTAATTAATATTAGCTAGAATTACTATTTGCTAAAGAAACTAGCTTGTACATGACCATGATAAATAGAATTTCTTGTTGCTAGCATAACTAATAGATACAAGGCTATGCCAAATTGGATTACTACTTCCTTAAGAACCGTGACATGCAAAACCACTTAATATTACTACTATTTGTTAAAAGAAGTGAGGTGTGCAGGACTGTATTAAACAAGATGACCAATTGTTAGAGTAACCGAGGCATACGGGACTGCTTATAATTTAATTATTAGTTGCTATAGTAACTGAGGCAGGCTGGACTTCATTAACAACATCAGAGGAGTTTGGGTACATGAAGCGGTACTAAAAAAACTTGTTACCTGTTATCAAAAACTCTACTTTTTGAGAACAACTCAATGTGAACCCAATTTGAAGTTCTACTTCCAAATATCTGAAGAATCCCTCCATTCATCCAGACAACTTTACACAATCTGGAATGCTGACAACCTGCTGATTCCATGGAAGAATCTGTCAATCTAGTCTACATTTATATATAAGTAGGACCTCCTATAAACTAAGCGGAATAATGCACAATTGTAGTGAGGTAAAAGGAACAACATGAATTAAATTTCCTCTTTCCCCAATAAGCTTTTGGACTGGGGCCCTGCTCTTCCCCCACCCAAGACAGACCACCCGAATCAGTTCCCATCCCGGTACCCTAGAAATGCTTCTTTTTCACAATATTAAATCTGACTGTGACTATAATGCTAACTGATGTGACCATTAAATAAATGCCTTTATAAGAATTCAAAATGAAGGATACTGGCATACGTCGAGAAGTTAGGTACCGAGGATGTGAAGCTGGCTTTTGCAATAATTCTGACTATCTCAACGGGGTTTGAGCTATCATATACATGTGGCCACTGGGACATGCAATATCCATGAGATACCAGGTAGGGATAAAAGGGTAAAGTTTAAAGGAAAACACTAAGAATTATAACTACTATAGTTTGCTATAGTGTTTATGGTGCCAGGAGTACCCTGGCACACCCCACATCCCTGTGAGAGGGAGATGCTGAGAGGGAGGGGGGTGATGTGATGTGTGAGGAAGGGGGGTGATGATGGGAGGAAGGAGGGTGATGTGTTGGGGGGGGTGATGAGGGAGGGAGAGGGGGGTGATGGTGTGAGGGAGGGACAGGATGGTGTGAGGGAGAGGGTGGTGATGGTGTGAGGGAGGGGGTGATGATTAGAGTGGGGTGATGGTGTGAGGGGGGGTGATATGGGAGACTAAATACCTTAATTCCCTGGTGGTCTGGTTGCCATAATATCCAGTCTGCAGCTCCGCAGAGCTGTAGACCATGAAACTCGCAAGACACAGTCAGAGCGTTACCGTGGTAACCCGCGGCAAGGCTCTGATTGATCAGATCTCGCAAGACACATGGTTTGCAGCTCTGCAGACCAGTGTCTGCGTTGGGCGCAGGAGAAGCATCTCACCCGGTGGCATATTGAGCAAACCGCTGGACCTCCTCCTAGTGTCGGGTCCTCGGTCAGTGACCCAGGACCCAACACAGTCAGCCCCGGGCACCCACTAGTACGCAACTAACAGCAGTCATTTCATAAAAGTCCAATCATTCCTAAGGTCAGTAGTTGTATATCCAGCAAATCAAAAGCATGAAGAGGGTACGTGGGAACACTGGGACACAGTAATTACTGAACAATGTAACCCTAGGTCAAGAAAACAAGCTAAACCAAGAACTGAAAGTAACCTCAGTGGTCTGGACGTGAAAACAGGAACATGGATTATAACCCGTCTGACTGTCAGTGAATCAGTATTTTAACAAATGTCTCTGTGAATTTAGTTAATTTGCAGGTGGCATCATGTAATGTCACCATCATGTGCTCGCCCTGAAAGTGGTGTCATAATGATTTATGGTAAATTTGAGTTGCTTTCCTATTTATTCCAATGCTTTTTCCATGGAAAACAGTTTATCAATGTTTGCCTTAAAGGGACACTATAGACACCCAGACCACTTCAACTCATTGAATGCGAGCATAGCAATTGCTGCGCATGCGCATTAGGTCTCCCTTGCCGGCTAGACGTTCCATTGAGCTGCATTGGGAAGTCTGTGAATTATTATTTATTTTTTTTGAATTCCGACAATTCTCACTTCAGAGCTTGGTCTGTGATCAGTGCAAGTATTGCAAGTTTTTTGCCAATGTTTCTGAGTGTTGTACGATTTGATAATTCTACAGCAATATATTTTTGTTCTCTGCATAGTTCAGTGGTTTGCATAAACATCACTACAGATAAACTATAACTCCTATATCTCATTACTGCAAACTTTCTAATTAAATTTATTAAGTGAAAAAAAATCCTTGACATTTTTAGCTATGGGATACGTTTTTAAATGTACTAATACATGCTAGTTGAAACCTACAGAATTATTAAAGGGACACTATAGTCACCAGAACAACTACAGCTTATTGAATTTATTCTGGTGAGTAGAATGATTAACTTCAGACTTTTGGCTGTAAACACTGTTGCTTCAGGCTTGAATACAGTAAGATTTTGCAATATTTATGGAGGCATGAGGGGCCCAGGGGGGCTAGATGGTGGTGTTAACACTATAGGGTCAGAAATACATGTTTGTGTTCCTGACCCTATAGTGATCCTTTAACTAAATTCAGCGTTTTAGTAAACTACATTTCAAAATTTAGGCAGAACTAGCTGCTTTGGAAAGCTTAACTCTATTCACAGATCTGTGAGGTCTTTTAGCCTCAGTTTTGCAATCTGAATGTAATTTGCTAAAATGTGAAGTTTAGGCCATGGGGAGATAGCACAGACAAGGGCACATGTAGGAGCGTGGGGATAGATGCGTGGGAGTGGTTTGGTTAGAGTGTATGGGTGGGGTTATGTGCTATGTGAGTTAGTGGGGGTCTTTCCTCAGTGCCACTTTGAATTTGGGCCAGCAAACAGCTTCCTGTCCTGCTCCTGTTTGTCATGGGCCTGTAGGTTTTCACAGCTTGAGGGATGGATGTTGATGCGATCTTGGTGTCCCTCAGGGCTGCTGCAGCGCTGGATGGTGGCCGGCAACTGAGGGAGCAATTCGGGCACATTACTGGAGGTATGGCAGCCGGAGTGGTCCCCCTGCCCGCAGCCTACCTCCCCCTGCGGTCTCCCCTCCTGCCTCTGGGGGCCGCACTAGCATGGGCCGGCGTGCCCACCTGCCAGTTTCCCCGGACACTACTCCTCTGGCCCAGTTGAGGAGTAGGAGCCCGGGCCCGAGGCATCCCCAGGCCCGTGTGTCTGGGGCTCAGGACACACGGCCTGCTTCCAGAAGCCTGGATTTGCGGCCTTCCGCGTGGCGCGGCCTACTGCTGTGAGGCCTTCCCCTGCCGAGCAGCCTGCGGCTTTGAAGCCTGGGACACGGCCTGCTTACGCCACGGGGGTGCCGCGGCCTACTCCGCGGGCTCCAGTCGCCCGGCCGGTAGCCTCTACATCTCCCGCCCTGGCCTCCAGCAGTGGATCGCTCCAGGTCCCACTGCGGGCGGCGGGAGAGAGGGGCTGCCACTAGGGCCCCTGTGGTGAGTAGGCCTGCGAGGGGTACCTTAGTACCGCCGTTGGAGGTTCGGGGGGTCCCCTTCTGGGTTGGGAGCCTCCTCTGCCAGTGAGGAAGGCTCCCAGGGCTCCATCTCCCCTGCCCCCCCTTCCCATGTGGCCTCTGCTGGTGGGTCCCCCAGGGGGCCCAGCTTACCACTACCAGGGCCCCCTGGGCCTTCTTTCTCTCCTGAGCTCCCCTCCCTCTCTTCCCTGCTCTGTTGGGCCTCCCCTCCCCCTTCCTACTTTCCTGTCTGCCCCCTTTCCTGTCTTTCCCTCCTCTGGCCCCTATCCTTCCCTGTCTGGGCCCCTCTGTCCTGTCCTCCCCCCTCTACCTTGCCTGGCCCCCTTCCCCCCGCAGGTCACTTAGCTCGGCCACCTCCTCTGGGGCATGGGATCACATCCTCTCCACTCTTCTCAAGACCTAGATGCAGTTTCTGGATCCGTCCAGCAGGTGGCGCCTGGAACACAGCTGATGACTTCTGGATGCTAGAATTCCTCTTTCAGTGCCTCAGCCTTCTTTGAATGCAGTACCAGGTTTGGACCGCCAGGCTGCCGCCGGTGAGTACGGTGTTCCCTCCTCTATTAACGCTTCGGGTCCCAGGCTGGGGGGGTTTCTCTTGGGTCTTCAGGGGTTTTTAGATCAGTGGGAGCGGGGGGGTGGCTGGTCAGTTTGGTCCCCGGCACAACTCCCCCCTACGGTTCAGTCCCCCCCCAGGTTCCCCTGTCTGTGTTGGGTGGTGGTTCATTGCCACTGGGACCCACGGTGGCTAGTGTTGGTGCTACTGTGGCCGTAGCGGGTGTTTCGGAATGTGGCGCGGGGTGGCTGCTTACATGTGCTGGTCTGGCCCTCTGGGCTTGCACTTGAAGCAAGAAACGAGGGAAAAAATTTGGAAAGGGGAATTTGTTGAAATATTTTCTCTCCTGTCGCTGGAGGAAGCTCCTCCCATGGTGGAAAAAGACAGTGAGAAGGATAGGGAAAAATACCGCTATCGGAAGATTCCCAAAACTTTTGGGAATTGGATTCTGGCGTTCTCCATTCTGGCCGGCGTGGTGGGAGAGAAGTCTCCCCAGAAATGCTCTGCGTTGTTCTGTTATCAGGACATGCTTGTCGAACCTATGGGGAGCTGGGGTGGTGGAGGTACGATGAGCAGTTTCAGCAGCGGCTGGCAGTTCGTTCCTCGCTGTCATGGGACCAGATGGATATTGGCCTCTGGCTCGCAATTATGACCGGTCCAGCCCCCCAGTAAGGCTCGTTTTTGTCCTTTCTTGGGGGGGCTCCTCCTCATCCCCATCGGCCCCCATCCAGAGGCCAGGCTGTTGGAAGTTTTAACGACAGTCACTGCAAGTGGGGATCCTCGTGCCGGTTTAAGCACGAGTGCTCCGGTTGCGGTGGGGCCTATCCTGCCTTCCGCTGTTTCAAGTGGGGCAAAAGTGGCGAGAAGGGGGACATGGGGGCAAAGGGTGACGACCCTGGTAATCGTAAATGCGATGCGCCCGTGGCTCGACCTTTATAGGAATAGGGCTGTGGCGCGGAATCTGGTGGACGGGTTCGAGCAGGGTTTTTGGATCCCCTTCTCTGAGCGCCCTCTGCTGCTCTCCGTACGGAACCTCAAGTCCGTGCAGGACTTTCCTCAGGTGGTACGGGAAAAACTGGATAAGGAGGTCTCCTTGGGCCGGATAGCCGGCCCGTTTTCTGTCCCCCCCCATGCCTAATTTGCGGGTTTCTCCTTTGGGCGTGGTTCCTAAGAAGAAACCCGGTAAATATCGCCTAATTCACCATTTGTCGTACCCTCAAGGGGTTCGGTGAATGACGACATCTCTGCTGAGCTTTGCAGGGTCTCCTACGCATCCTTTGATGCGGCGATTCGCATGGTGCGGGCTGCTGGCCTGGGGGCATTGCTAGCTAAGGCAGATGTTGAATCTGCTTTTTGGCTGCTCCCGGTGCATCCAAAATGCCATGACCTCGTGGACTGTGCATTTGAAGGGCAGTTCTTTGTGGATATGTGCCTCCCTATGGGTTGCTCGCTGTCATATTTTTATTTTGAGTGCTTTAGCACTTTTCTGGAATGGGTGGTGCGGAGGGAAGCTGGGGTCGCTTCCCTCCTGAACTACCTGATTTCCTGTGTGTAGGGCCGGCAGAGTCGCACATCACTTTATCCGGCTTACGCAGCCCTTGCGGGCTGACTTGGCTGTCTGGGATTCCTTTTTGGCCTCATAATTGTAGGACGTACTGGCAAGCCCTGGAGGTTTCTAATGAGGACCTCCACTTGTTTACTGATGTGGCTGGCTCGGCGAGTTTTGGGGCCATTCTGGGCTAAAAATGGTGCGCTGACTCATGGCCAGAGGTCTGGCATACGGCAGGGCTCACTTGGATCTTGGCTTTTTTGGAGCTCTTCCCTATTCTGGTGGCTTTGGAGGTGTGGGGTTCCCTGCTTAAGGACAGACGGGTGGTTTTCCATTACGACAATTTGGGGGGGGTGCAGGCTATTAACCAGCTGACTGCTTCCTCCCCCCGTGGTACGCTTGCTGCAGCGATTGGTTCTGCGCTGTTTGGAGCTTAATGTGTATTTTAGGGCTGCACACATCCCGGGTGTTCACAATGTGATGGCCAATGCTCTCTCTCGTTCAAAGTGGGACGTGTTTCGGGCAGTGGCTCCACAAGCCGAATTGGACGGTGTTCCGTGCCCAACAGAGATGTGGTCATTGGGTCTGACAGATTGATGGAGTTGGTCCGTGGGTCGGTCTCGGCGGCCACGTGGGCCCGCTATAACAAGGTGTGGAAGGAAAGGGATGTGTGGGAGCTGTTCCATGGGGGTTTCCAGGACTCGACTGCTCGCCTGCAGGGCCTGGTTCTTCTCCTGGGGGACTGGGAGGCTGCGGGGTTGTCCCCCTCGGCCATTTCTGCGCACGTGGCGGGGCTCAGCTTCCTGTTCAAGTTGCGGGGCTGGGAAGACGCTCCCAAAGCGTTTATAGTACACCAGGCACTGAAAGGTTTGAAGCAGGGGAGGTTGTCTTCACAAGACTCGAGGCGTCCTGTCTCGGGCACTCTCTTAACTAATCTGTGTGATATTTTGCACAGGGTTTGCCATTCGGAATTCGAGGCTCGGCTCTTTCGTTTGTCTTTTTCCCTGGCATTCTTTGAGCTGGTGTGCCGACTGGGGACCATGCCGGGTTCTGGCATTTGTCCTGTTTAGTCCTTTAGGGAGTATTGTTCCTTGCGCCTTTCTCCTGCGCTGCCCCTCCTGGTGCATGAGGATGGTAGTTTCCTTTTCTCATTTCCAGTTTATCAGAGTGTTTCGTTTAGGGCTAGAATCTATAGGAATTGATAGCAGAAAGTTTGGAGGGCATTCATTCCGTATTGGGGCGGCTACTGAGGCCTCTAGACTTGGCATGCCGGCGCAGGTGGTTCAAAGAATTGGGAGGTGGGAGTCAAGAAGTTATGTACCCTATGTTCGCCCGGCTGGTCTACTGACTTGATTTCTTTCGCAGGTTCGGTTCCCCCTAGGATTTGGATCATGGGACACTCCTATGTTTACTGGGCCGGGCAGCGTGCGGCGGTTCGGCCTGGGGGCGAACGGTTGGGATTCATGCCTTCCGAAGCTGAGGTGCGGTTGTTCGGTACGAGGGGCATGAGGTGGATGCGGCTACTCCCTGAGGTGGTTCAGCTGTCCCGCCTTCTGGGGGTACCGAGTGTCCTGGTAATCCATCTGGGGGGAATGACCTGGGTTCAGTGCCCATATGGGATTTGATATCGGCGGTGAAATTGGACTTGGCGCGCATTTTAATCTTGTTCCCCAACGTGCGCTTGGTTTGGTCCGAAGTCATTGCCCATAACTACTGGCGGAGTGCCTGAAGCCAGAGTGCCATGGAACGCTGCTGCCGCAAGTTGAACAGGCAGGTTTCTCAGTTTGTTTTGGGTTTCGGGGGATTCCGGTTCGCCATAAGGTTTTTGAACGGGAGGCGGGCAATTTTTTCGGGGGGGGGGTGGGGGGGTGGAGTACACTTAACGGAAGCGGTGGAACAGGCCATGGGTGGTTTTGGTGGGGTTCCCCGCTGATCTTAGGGGTAAAACAGCGGGTCTTGTGGGAGTATGTCCTTGCCAAGGGTTATGTTTAAGGATATGGAGTGAGTTCAATAAGTTTGCGGGTCTCAACCTCCCCTACTTAAAAGGGTTAACATTAGGTTACCTGGGATGTCGTGCCCATTGAGCGTGGATAAGGTGGGCTGGTGGCAGGCAATGGAAGGATATGATTTTATGATGAGGGGGGAGGTGAGAGGAAGTGGTACTTAGGAACAATGTATGTTTATTGGCAAGAACGGTTGGGTCACTGTATAACACTACGTGTTGAGTTATATATGTATATATGTTAACTTATGCTTATTTATGTCTAACGTTTTTGGTTACAGAAAAAGAAGATAAATTATTAAATAAGTTATGGATGTGTTATGCAGTATTTTATGTTATAATAAATGTTGTGGCCTGTTTCATCCATACTAAGTTGTCTGTCATTATTGGGGGGGTTGAATGGGGTTAGTTTATGTAGTATGCTGCATCGAGATTCCCCACTATGTACATACATGAACAGATGAATCCATTTTTACACAGTTCTCAGTCACACTGTGCCCTCTACTGTCACAAAGGAGGAAGTACAGTCTCATCGGCATATTGATAAAAAAAAAACACTCATATTTTCAGGGTAATACACTAAACTAAATGGACCATTTTAGAATGAATTCAAAGGGAATTTCAAATTTAAGCCCAAATCTGAATTGGAGGCATAGCTGACTTAGAGAACTTTTCCAATTCAGCTATTTTGACCTTAAATTTTTAAATTCACGTTTACTTTTCACTTTATTGAATAACCCTGTATGTGCTCTTACGTGTCAGATTGTCTCTATGCAAAATGAATGGGTTTGTACACTAACGTGAGAATTCAAAGTGAATTTTCAATTGAATGTCAGAATAGCCAAACTGAAAGCATAGCTGATTTAACGAGATTGTCCAGTTTGGCTACTCTGACCTTAAATTTTAAATTCACTCTTTTGTAAATAACCCTGCTGTAAAAGGCCCCCTAGGTACCATGATTTGTGATTATATCCTGTCATATTCTATATCCTTTCCTTGAATATTATCAATTCCTCTCTGTATTAAACTCCACTTACACTGGTGGCTTAAAGATAATATGTTTATTAAAATATCAAATACACATATGTGAGCAGCAAGAGAAACATATGACGTAATCTGTCTACACTCCTGCAGACAAAAGGTATGCTAACAAGAGGGTGGCTGCAAATATAAAAGTTAAGACGTGTGTCATTATGTGTATCTGTGTGTCATTATGTGTATCTGTGTGTATGTGCCAGTGTGCATATTTGTGTCAGTGTGTGTATCTGTGTATGTGTGTATCTATGTCTCAGTAAGAATACTTCAATGTGTGTATCTGTGTGTAAGTGTATGTATTTGTCAGTGTGTGTACCTGTGTGTCAATGTGGATATATCTGTGTGTATGTGCCAGTGTTGTGCCAGTGTGTGCATCTGTATCAGTGTTTGTATCTGTGTGACAGTGTGTATGTGCATATGTTTGTCAGTGTGTGTACCTGTGTGTCAATGTGTGTATGTGTCACTGTGTGTATTGGATTGATTGCATCTAGGTGTGTACATGTGTCAGTGTGTTTTATGTGTGTCTCTGTGTGTTAATGTGTATGTATATCTGTGTGAGTATGTAAGTGCATACATCCCAGCAATCAAATACAACACGCAAACAAACCACTACAAACACAAACATCACATAAAACACAATTACTCTCGTTTTCAAGTATGGAACCATTACATACAAACACACCCTTGTATTAAAATGTTACAATTATACACAAACACCAACTCTACATACAAAAGCACACATGCATTTAAAAGCCAACACTATATAAATACACACACCCCTGCATTCAAACGCAAACACTAAGACAAGTGCAACATTGCATTCCAATGGCAACAGTATATACAAACACACAATTATCTCCATGTACAGAAAAACACATAATTTACAGACAGCCCAAAAGTAACCCCAAAATACACGAAAACCCCACAAAAGTCACATCCCCGGATCGCCCTGATCTGGATGGCCAACATAGCCAAAAATCACCCATATTGGTTTTGTAGTTTTTAATCGGCATCGTGGGGAAGGTTTGACCGGTCTGCCACGAGGTTGAAACCCAAAATAGTTCAAGGGAAATTGTGGCAATGCCCTTTCTCCGTTCTTGGGGTTTTGTACGAAAACCACTTAAGGCACATGGAAAATTTCCCTGTTAGAATGCTCCCCTTGTTCGGTATTTGATAACTCCCGAACGCCGTTCGTGTAGATGGTCGGGAAATTGAACGGGCAGCAGATCTATCTTTACCGGAGTTCACAGGAATGCCTGGCCGAAAACAGTTCCAGGCACTCGACGACCAGGTCCCGCTGCCTGTGTTCGGAAGACAAGATGGTCACCATCCATTGTCTTGACCACCTGGTTCATTTGCACGAAATTGTTTCCTTAGTGGTTTTCGTACAGGATACTCAACGTTCCAAGTTCTAATTAGGGTCTAGGGTGGTCCTTGTTCGGGAACCGAACCAAGTAAAAACAAATCAAATAAAAAGGGAATATAAATCCACAAAATCAACCGAAACAAATGATGGGGCTATTCCTTCACATATGGTAAAACTCAAACAATAGAGAGCCTAATTTAAAACAGGTTATTCAATCACAAGTACACTAGACAAGAGGTAATTTAAAAATCTAAAACTTTGATTAACAGTAAACATCATGTACAGGTACTTCCAGACAGAAGGCAAAACAAGGAATCCAATTAACAGCCCCTACTCTGTCTCCCTTATTGTGTACAGGATGTGCCTGCACTGCAGGGGGTAAGCTATCAACCATTGTCCCTGAATAATTTACTGTGACACAATGTAATACTGCAGAGTCTGCTTTTCCTTTGGAATTATGCTGGCTTGGCGTCATTCAAGGGCAAACACTACACACAAGTAAAATACTGCTTTTAAATGACAACAGTAGATAAAAACACAACACTACACCGAAGAACACTCCTACATTTACACACATATACTCCATACAAAAACATGCTTACATTCAAACGCACAAACACTCAGTGCTAAATACAACCCTGCAAGGATTGACAAATGGTAGATCAGATCCCTAGCTGTCAAAGCATTGAGGGAGTTGTATGACAGATGGGGATTTTTTTTTTTTTTTATCCTTGCGATAGGGGGCACCCAAAAAGTTCTTGCATAAGGGCCCTCTCTACTTTAGCTCAGCCACTGAGTGTTTCTTCCATGTTTTTACAATGTACAAAAAAGTAAAGACTAAGATGTTAAAAAGGATCAATCTAAAAGAAGCTGTAACTCAACCAAAACTAGACAATGAAACTTATTCCTGTCTGTCTAGCATACAGTGGGAACACTCTGGCACAATAGTGAGAGCACAGCTTAGCTATAAAGTTGGAGTTGTGGGGAGGGAGGTTTCAAAATAAAAATTCTAATAACTTATTCTTGGGTCAGAAGGCTACCTTAATACACCACTGCTCATAAGGTAAGTATAGCTGTGGTCTAAAGATACCTGATCATACTCAGTAGGTTGCTAAAAGCAGCATAGAATCCTGTCGACATAGCTAGGGAGCACGGATGAGAAGCAACACAACAGGAATTGCCATGTACCCTAGGATCTTTTACACTACTACGGCCGGGAAGGGGTATAGCATGCTCCGGGCTTGCTAACGCTGAAAATCTCTCTGGATCCCAGACGGCAGCCAGGGTACTTCTACGGTTAATAAAATATTACCCCAGCATAGGGGTCCATCACCGAACATTCAGAATAACCTCTGGTATCAGCAATGTATCGGATACCTGCAAGTCTTCATTTACTTATCTGAGAATCTGCGTATCCAAACGCTTAATTCCAATTACCTTTTGAAATAGGTACCTGTGTGTAATACCTGGCTTCATGTTTACCTTTCTTGTACTGTTATTACATGATGAAACTATAAAAAAAAATTATTTCTAATAAACAGAAATTAACAAAGAAAAAATAAATAAATACAAGAAACGTCAGAACAAGCCAAAGTCAAGGGGAACCAGAAATACACAAATATGAAAAACAAAGCCGAGCCAGGGGAGCCAGAAAACAGAGTAGATAAGAGCAAGCCGGGTCAATACCAAAATATACAACACTGACAAAATAACACGCTATTGGGACACTAGGAATCACAACACGGCACTGTGCCTTGGGCAAATGAAGTTTTATACATTTGGGGGCATGGTTAGCATAGCCCCGCCCCCAAAACATGAGTGTATTTTTAAGTTCTAGTGTTAAGAGCTCTAATGACGTCATGGCTCTGGCTCGCACGCACTGCGTCATAAAAAGGGGCGGGCGCATAACGGTCGGCGTCCAAGAGGCTGTCTGAGACTATATGCAGCGTGGGAGCGGCGGTCTGCCGGATCAGAGGAACAGCTGACCGGTGGACCGCCAGGGTAAGTACACGAGCGCTGACAACAACTTCCGCAGGATCAACCCATGCACTGAAAATCGGACGTTATTTCACCCCTTAAGGACACATGACATGTGTGACATGTCATGATTCCCTTTTATTCCAGAAGTTTGGTCCTTAAAGGGTTAAGCAGCCAACAAAACCACCTACTCACTAGTGACATCCAATGAAATCCCTGAATCCTTTTGTAGTGATGTGTCACATTCCCATAGGTGTAGAGCAGGAACTCTTCATTCATAGGCCCTCCAAACGCAACTGTGTCTTTACTGGTGATATGGGGATGTATCACTATGTAACGGATGTATCACTATGTATTCTCACCCTAACTCCTTCCCTCTCAACAACTGCTTGTTATCTTAAGTTACCCATTTTATTGCAGCTCCCTATTTAAAAAGGGGGCTTGCTATAACATTCGATCATTCTGAATTTGCCAAATTGAAATAGTGTATTTCACAAAATCTGATATTTCCAACACATTGACTCACAAAATCCAGGGAAACTGTCATTTTTTAACAATATGTTCACTTATCCCTATATTTACAAAAGTAAATATAGGGGCTAATTCATTGAATCAATGCATCTCTATGAGGAAAGTTCAGCTTCCCCACTGAGCCAGGAAACACCTCCAGTGGCCATCTGAGGCGTGGCCACTTGGAGGTGTCCCTAGCGGCAATGTAAACACTGCCTTTTCTCTGAAAAGGCAATGTTTGCATGAAAATGCCTGCAAATAATGATTATACTCACCAGGACAACTACATTAAACTGTAGCTGTTCA